AGTAATTGCAACTCGTCAGTTCCAGCAAATTGAATGACGTTAAGAGGAGCATATATTAATCGCATGCAAATATAATTGCCACCATGGCACGCGTGAGATCGAGAAGATCGGAAGACGCATATATGCGTCCGTAGTACCGAAAGGGTTGATCGTCGAACACGAGAGGAACGTGTGCGCATAAAACTGTGCGCACACGATGAAGACAGTGGATGGTCACGGATGAAGAAGCGGTTAGCTCGAATCGACCGGTTACGAGGCGAACGAAAAATCGAGAAATTGGGAAATCAGTGGAGCAAGAATTTGTCGGAGGCGCGAGAGAGGTACGAGCGCGAAATCGGCGAGCCTTTAGTGAACGAAACGAGCGAGCGATGTAAAAATAGCCGATTTCGCTGTTTTGCAATGCGTGACGCGCGGTGCACCGAGCACGCGCCCGCGCGTTCCGCCGATGCGCGGGATTTGAATTGTTTTGAAAGTCGATTTGGATTTCAAATGTCGTCACCGAAGAAAAGTCGATGTCCTATCTCGTCGATCCCCCCTGTGCTGCTTCTTGCCCAACTTTTATCTCTCTCCTGCTCGAGCCCGGCGAGAAACTCTTCTTCTTTTTTCGTTGTTTCGATTCGTTATCGCGTCCGCTTCATCTGCGGGACACGGTTGCGCTCCGAGCGTGCCCTCGATTCGAACCGCATAAAAATTCGATCGATTTTTCGGCGTGACCGTGCACAAATTGCAGACGATTGCATGCCGGGTGTACCCGGCGATCGAATTTTAAATTTCCACCTATGCTAAACGATGGCCGCGGGCGAGCGAGCGTGCGAACGTGCGATCGTCGCGCCGAGGAGAGAATATCCTTTCGAGAACCTTGAAATTTCTCGCATATCGTTTCCATTTTGCGGATTGCGTCACCGGCACTGGCGGTAAAAGAAACAGATCTGCTCGTTCTGTCGTCCGTTCGGTCTGCGGGTTACCAAGTTGATCGGGGATTCGCTTATTTATTTATTTATATATTTATGTATTCATTCATATTCATGCGTTTGTCAAACAGATAACACCGGCTCGGTTTGCAAGCGAGCTCGACTTGGAACGATCCGGCCGATAAGCGTTCCAGCTGGGAGCGATCGATTCACGATCGCGTGAATGAAAGCTGCTCGCGGGAGAGGCACGCATGAATCGGATCGATCGAAGCCGATCGACGGAAATGGAAATCGATAGCCGATCGAAGGAAACTGCGTGGCGGAAGGGGACGACGGAAGAAGGGTGGCAAGGAGCCTGTCGGTCACAAACATCGGCGACAAGGTTGGTTTCGAACTCGTCTATGATTTCCGATACATCGCGCGTGCAGACCAACAAGTAAAAGTACCTGTGGTAGTGGCAGCGGTCACTGGTAGTAGATAGAGGAGGAGAAGAAGAAGAAGAAGAAGAAGAAGAAGAAGAAGAAGAAGAAGAAGAAGAAGAAGAAGGAGAGGAAGAAGAAGAAGAAGAAGAAGAAGAAGAAGAAGAGGAAGAGGAAGAGGAAGAAGAAGAAGAAGAAGCAGAAGAAGGAGAAGGGGAAGAAGAAGAAGAAGGCAAAGGCGAAGAAGACGAAGTAAGAGAAGAAGAAGTAGAAGACGGGGAAAAGAATAGTGGAACGATGAGCGGAGAAGGAAGGAAGGTAAGCAAGCACGGAGGGATCGCGGGAGGGAGATTGCTGGAGAAAGAGCAGAGTATGGC